CGCACAGTCAACAGCCGAACAATAGTTGAATGTTTATGATTGCGTTCCAAAAATAACTACAACTCTCAGAAATGCTGAAAACCGGGAATGAAACAATGGATATTTGGATTGGGAATGGGCAGGGGCATTTGTCATCACACCATCTATCCAAGCAAAACCATTTGGTATAGCCCATAGCCATTATCAACAACAACATTGTTGTTGTTGTTTTTTTGTTTCCTTCCACGCATCTTTCATGGGGGTTGGTTGTTGTTGTTTCTGGATTCAATGAAGTTGTTGTTCTCTACACATGGAAGTGACAAAAGCAGAGCAACACCGCCACCGCCACCACCACCGCCCTCTCATGAGATATGGTGCAGGACTCACTTGTATACCATATGTTGCCTGGCTGTGCCGAGAGTCCATTTGACTTCGACGACGTAAATGAAGGGCTGGCCAGCATGATCCAATATTTATTTCAAGTAGTAGAAGTTGTTGTCGTTGTTGTTTATTTGAATAATCCATTGACGCCACATAAACTGTTGCAGATGATAAGTCAAGAGACTTAAGTGTTTCGGATACATTTTGACTTGTTTTTAAGAATAGTTTTGGAAAAACTAAAACTAATAATTTTGAAAAATAATAATTAATGTGAAAAATCTTGGATTTACGAGAATATTTTTGCAGAAAAAAATATCTTCTGCATTACCATTAGGTTAAAAATAATTTAATTTTTTTTAATATGTTCACTATGTTTTTTAATAAAAATAAAAAAATAAATATTTTTAATTTTTTTTTGAAAAATTATATTACATTTTAGATAAAATATTTTATATTTAAAAAATAATGTTATTTATTTGAAAAATATTATTTTACAATAAAGGTAAACTTTGATAAATTTAAATAAAATAAACTTTGTTTAATTGAAAAATAATATTTTTAGTTTGGGAAAAAATATAATTTAAAAGATCTAATATCGACCTTGCTAAATTGTAAAAATATTTAATTTCAAAAATTCAAGATCTTGGTATTTTTTATATATTAAATTTGAAAAAAAAAAAAATAAAATAAAAAAATATTATCAAAAAATTCATGACTTTTTTAAAGAAAAAAATATTTGATTAACTATATTTTAAATTTGAAATATATAATTTTTAAAAACTCCTTGTTTAATTAAAAAAACTTTTCAAAATTCATTTTCTTTCAATTTGTATAAAATATAATTTGAAAAATAATTCTTTGCAAAGTAGATATTTAAATTAAAAAATTATATTAAATTTTGAAAAATATATTTTACTTCTGAAAAATAATGTTTCTAATTTGAAAAATAATATTCTACAAAAGAAAAAAAATGTACTCTTTAAATTTTTTAAAATAAACGTTAAATTGAAAAATATATATTCTAAAAGATCCACTGTCGTAGTATTTTAGAAAAACTACGGAAAGTTTGTAATTTTTTATTTTAAATTTGAAAAAATATATATTTAAAGACATTTACGACTTGCTACAATTTATATTTATTTGTTTGAAAAATAGTATGTTAAAAAAATTGTTTGTAAAAATCCAAGACCTTAATAATTTTTATAATTAAAATTTCAAAAAATTTTATTCGAAAAAATTTACGACATGGAAAAATTTCAAAAATATTATTTTTTAAGTTTTGCCTTATTATTATTTTTTAAATTTGAAATATATTTTTTTAATAATAAGTAAAAAATATATATTTTTGTTTTAAATTTGAAAAATATTTTTTTTTTATTTTGAAAATTTTATTTGAAAAAATACATGACTTGTTTAAAATTAAAAAATCATTTTTTTTTATTTGATAAACTATATTTTAAATTTGAAATATATTATTTTAAAAACTAAGAAAAAAAAATAAGATTTTTTTTTTAAATTTTAATATAATATAATTTGAAAAATCAGTTGTTAAAATTTATGCAAAGTAAAATTTTAAATTTGGAAAATTATACTAAATTTTAGATAAAATGATTTTTTTTTTGAAAAATATTTTTTTAATTTTTTATAGTATATATCAAAAAATGTATTACTTTAAAATTGAAAAATTAAAATATTAATTTGAATAACAATATTTTTAAAAATTCACAACATTGTGAATTAAAAAAAGAAAACATTTAAAAATATAAGAATATTTTTTGAATATAATTTAATTTTACAAATAATATTTCAATTCTTTGCAATTTAAAATTTTAAATATTAAAAATTATATTAAATTAAATAAATAACAAATCTGAAAAATAATGTTTCTTATTTGAAAAATATTTTTTTTCAAATAGTATTTGAATTTAAAATATAAAAAAGTATTTTAATTTAGAAGAAAAAAAATTAAATAATGAATATTATTTAAACAAAATTCACGACTTGCTAAAATTTGAAAAATAAATTTCTTGAAATTTGAAAAAAATATATTTTTTTATAAATTAAAATTTTTAAAATATATGTCTTTAAAATTGGAATATTATATAATATATTAATTTTAAAAAAGTATATTACAAACAAATTGAGGCGATTTTGTTAGTTTGAAAAATAAAAAAAATTAATTGTAATAAAAAACTCCACGACATTTTTGAATTAAAAAAACCACATTTAAAAAAATTAAAATTTTAAATATGAAAAATTGTATTAAATTAAAAAAAAAATAAATCTGAAAAATGATGTTTTTTATTTGGAAAAGTATTTTTTAAATAGCGAACTTTGTAAAATAAAAAAAAGTTGGTAAATTGAAAAATTATATTTTTATTTGGAAAATTACATTTTATTTTGAAAAATAATATTTTAATGTGGAAAACAATATTTAAAAAAAATCCACTAAAAATTATAAAGCAGTATTTTTAAAAAACGAAGACTTCGAAAAAAATTGTTTTAAAAAGTAGCTTTAAAAATAACATTTTTTTTTTAAATACATTAAAAATTATATTTTAATACCGAATGTTGAGAAGTACTTGGGCTATTGAACAACATGAAACTAACAGCATTTAAAACAATAAGAAAATAATTTTTAAATTTAATTATAATATAATTTGAAAAATAATTTTTTTCAATTCTTTGCAAATTGAAATTTTAAATTTTTAATTTATAAAATAATAAGAATATACATGTATCTACATATATTTTTTTTTTGGAAATTCCAGACTATTCTTGACTGTTTTTCTGTTACATTTTTGAAATATTTTATTTAAAAAGCTATGATTTCGTTCAAGTAAAATAAAATAAGCAGATAATTAAAAATAAAATAATACATATGTTACGTCTATACATATTTATTATTTTATTTTTATTTTTTATATTTATTTTATTTAAATTGAATTAAAACATTGCTTTTTAAATTAATAAATAAAAAATAATAAGAAGAAAATAAAAATATTTATAATATCTGCGATTTTTTAAATTTGAAAGATTATTTTTAAAAATGCATAACTAAAAATACAAATTCTTAAAAACCGATGACTCAAAATGAAAATTCTAAAAAGCCACGACTAAACATCCATTTTCTGAAAATAGTTTAAAAAATCGAAATCGTCTAAAATTCCAAATTGATATTGATAATATTTTAAATACATCGACCTTAAATAAATAAATATATTTCCATAAATATATTTTAAAACCCCAAATTTTAAAATTAATATTTAAAAATATCTGCTAATATATTAGCAATTTTGTGATTTAAATAAAAACACGTTTGCCAGTGTTTTAAGTTTTCAAAATAATTTTTAAGTTAATTTTAAGTTAATAAGAATTTTTTTGAAAACTTAGAACACTGACAACTTAAATCTCAAAACTACTAATATTTTAAAAATTAATCAAGTTCGAAGACATTTTTAAAAATATTAATTTTCACATTTGGATATTCCTTTAAATATTTGAAAAATATTTAGCTTCGAATAGTCAAAATATAATGTTAAATGTAAATTTTAAAAGTCCTCGTTTATAAATTTGTGACAAATAACAAAAATGTTTTTTTTTTAGATTTTCAAAAAAATAATGACAAAAAATCCACTATTGTTGGTCTTTAGAAACTCGTCATCTCGTCTCACGATTTTCTCCATGCAACATGTCTGCTTCAAACGTTATCGAACTTTATAATTATTCTTCATTCATTCTTGTGATGGCAAAACAAATCTATTTTTGTTTTTTCGCACCATTAAATAAAGAATTTTAATTTTTTTTTCTTTTCTTTTCTTTTTTAAAAAAAAAAAATTAAAATTAGAGCCAATTACAAGTTTTGATATTTTTTTTTATTTCAGTTGTTTTACAAAATAACTTTCGTTTGACGTACCAAAAAAAATGTGTACACTTGGTGTTGCTTTCCATCCCTGTTTCGTCATACAGTTGGAATGAAGTCGAATCAGACACACAACCACGCAACGCAACCGAATGGAAAAAAGCCGGCTTTACTTTTTTGAACAGAAAAGAGCAGACCAATTGAAATGAGAATTCATTCGAATCTTGTATAGAGTCGTGAGCGGTTGAGTGCGGTTGTCTTAGCTTGAGTCGTCATAAAAGCGGTCTTTTTTTTCATCAAAGAAAAGTAATCATTTGCTAAATAAAAATTTTCTGAGAAAAAGGAAGATTGAAAAAATCTTTATAAAAAAATCCTTGAAATTAAAAAATAATTATTTTTGAGAAAGAAAATCATTTCTGCGGATTTTTTTGTCAAACAAACAAAAATTCGGAAGACAGCCAGCCACCTCAGAAAAAAAGGGTGTAACAGAAGAAGTATAACCAATAAAAGAAGTAGAGAAAGAAGTTAAGAAGTGTGCAAAAAGAAATCTGAAGAAGAAAGGTTTAGAGAAGCCGGTTAAGCGAAAATAAAAAAATTGTTTTAAAACAACAACAACAAATTGAAGTGTGGCAACAAAAAGAAAAGTGAAACAAAAAACAAAACCAAAAATCAAAGCGCAAATATTTAAACAAAGGATTTTATTTTCCAATCAACGAAACAGTCTGTCTGCCAGCCAACCAGCCGGTCATTTAACCAACTAGCCATCCATCATCAAAGTCTTCAACGCCATCTGAAAAGAGGGAAACAAAAGAATTGAGTGAGTGCAAATTTTTGGTATTTTTAAAAATTTCGAGTGTGGCTTTCTTCAGATTTTCAGACAAAGCCGAAATTAAAAAAAAAAAAAATTGAAAAAATAAAATTTGTAAAAATGTTAAATAATTTTTTCTTTTTCAAAATTTATTTGAATTATTTTCAAATTTTATTATTTTTTGTTTATCTCTTCTCTCCTTTTAAACCGGCTTTCCTTGTGCGTGCGCTCTCTCCCCATTTTGTTATTTATTTAGCCGGACCAACTTCTTTATCCTAATTATCCGCGACATTGGCATTGCAGTTTGCAATTTTTATTTCATGTTGTTCGTGTTGTTCCTGTTTTTCCTTATTTTTCTCTCCCCGTGGTGGCTCGTGTGTGCCTGGAATTGCTGTTGTTGTTGTTGTTGTCATTGCTTGTATTATACACACCACTGCGAAAAGGTGGTACATTGTAAAATAAGTATGTACCTACATACATATGTAATGGTTGTTGTTGTTGTTATTATTAGTTTTATTGAATCGTACACTTGTCTACAAAATTTTTTGGGACTGGAGAAAAAAACAGAGAGTATTTTGGCGTTTTTTTTTTTCTATTTTTGGCAATTTTTAAGATTTTAATGCAAAGAAATATATTTTCTTTTTATAAAATTTTCCTAAAATTAACGGCTGAAAAATGCAAATTGTAATATTAAAATTTCTATTTAAACGAGTATTGCCAATTTAGGGATTTTTTGATTTTTCAAAGATTTGAGTTTTAAACAGATCTTTTTTTTCATTTTAGACTCATTGGGTTATGTAATAAATCTTTGCTGAACTGCTAAATAGCTCAATATTGGCGGAACCATTGTTCCTATCGTGTTGTCAGCAAAAATAATTTTGGCGATTTTTTCTCTATGTGACTTCCCAAATTTTTATGAATTTCCCTTCCTATTAAATCAGAATTTGTGGCTGAAAAAACACAAATTTTAATGTTTAAATTTCAGTTAAAAAAAAGTATCGCAACTTAGCGATTTTTGTTTTCTCACTGGTATGGGTTTTTTATTCAAACTTTTTTTTATTTAAACCCCCTTGTGTAGCTAATGTATCATTCAATAATTTCAAATTTGCAAAAACAATCCCATTTTTTTGGCGGACTCCAAAAAGTAATTTGGCGATTTTTTCTTTTTTGTGAGTTTCAGAATTTTTATACAAAAAATACTTTTTCCCTAATACATTTTCCCTTCTCTAAAATTAATGGCTGAAGAAAGTACAGATTTCAATGTTACAATTTCAATATAAAAAAAATTAATGCAATTTAGCGATTTTTTGATTTCAAAAAAGCATGGATTTTTAAAAATTTTAGAATTATTATGCAAAAATTATATATTTCACCTTAATAAACCGTTTCTAAAATTAATGGCTGAAAAAATACTCATTGTAAGATTAAAATTTTTATTTAAACAAGTATTGCCAATTTAGCGATTTTTTTACTACTGAAAAATATTGATTTTACACCCATTTTTTGTGATTTACAACCTTTTCGAACAGCTAATATATCTTTGCTGAACTCCTCTATCAATAAAGTTCGAAGGAAATGATGATCTCTTCTAACTGTACCCAAGGAGAATTTTGGCGATTTTTTTCTGCTTGGGTTTTTAATATTTTTTATGTAAATTCATATTTTACATCCTTTAGGGAAGTCAATGTTTGCTAATTGAATTTTCAATTATTTAAGACTGCCCATTTCTGAATCTGCCAAGAAATAGTTTGGCGTTTTTTTTCTGTCCGGGAACTTCTCAGATTTTACTTTCCAAATAATTATATTTACCCCCCACAATTTTCTCCACAATATTTGTCTAAAGAAAGCCGAAATTGTAGCGTGTTTAATTTAAATTTAAACAAGTAATACCAATTTACCGATTTTTTGAATTCTTAAGAGTATGACACATAAACAATTATTTGGCTTTAAGACCATTTGACGTTGCCAATATATGCTTGCTGAACTTTTCTATGACTTAATAATGGCGAAAACAAATGCCTTTTATATCTGTACCCGAGGAGAATTTTGGCGATTTTTTCTGCTTGGGGTTTTTTAATATTTTTTATGTAAATTTAGATTTCAAATCCCTTTTGAGAAGTCAAAGCTTGCTTACTGAATTTATCAACTACTTAAGGCTGCTGGAAACAAAGCCAAATTTCTGAATCTGCCAAGAAATAGTTTTAGCGTTTTTTTCGGGTTTCGACTTTTTCAGATTTTATTTTTCAAAGAATTATATATTCCATCATAATTTTCCTTACAATTATTGGCTGAAGTAAGCACAAAATGTGTCGTGTTTAATTTTAATTTAAACAAGTAATGCCAAGTTAGCGATTTTTTTAAATCTTAAAAGTATGAAATGTAAAAAGAAATTATTTCAATTTAAGACCCTTTGAAGTATCCAATATATCCTTGCTGAACATTTCTATAACGCAATACTGTCGGAAACAAAGTCCTTGTCTTATTGTCTAAAATATGTATTTTGGCGATTTTTTTATGTTTGTGATTTCCGGCAATTTAAGTACATATTAATGTTTTTCCTAACAACAAAACCTCTGCAAAAGTTGTGTCTGAAGAAAGTCAAAATTGTGACTTGTTTAATTTTAATTTGAACAAGTATCAATTAATTCACACAATTCCTTTAAAAAATGCAAATAGTTTCATTTTGGCGATTTTGGATTTTGGCAATTTTGTGATATTTTTTAAACTTATCCTTTTTGGATTAGCAGCCTTTTGAAGAAACCCATGTATCCTTAGAAAATTTATATAAAGTTTAAATATGGCCCTCTAACAGCACTTCCAAGTATTATCAATTTAGCGTTTTTCTTGGTAGTGTGTAATCCCATAGAACTCAGTTTTGGTGACTTTTTTAGAGTGATCGCCTAGAATTTTAATACGAAAAATGGTCTGGATAAATTGACACTGTTCCTTCTTTAAAAATCTAAATACATTCAATTTGGCGATTTTTTGTTTTGGCGTTTTTATCGATTTTTTAACGAAACTAGTTTTTTTTCGAATTTGTAAACTTTTTGAAGTGGCTAATGTATCCTAACTAATCTTATTTATAGTTTAAAACATGACCCTGTAATAAAACTTTCAAGTATTATCAATTTAGCGTTTTTTTTCTGATTCTATGTAATGCCCAAGAATTCAGTTTTTTGTTTCTTCTAAATTTTTAATGGCAAAAATTATGTTTTTGTTTCCATAGTTAAGCTGCTCTAACATTTTTTTCTAGTTAAACCTTAAAAAAATCCCAATAGTTTCAATTTGGCGATTTTTTGTTTTGGCGTTTTTATCGATTTTTTAACAAAACTAGCCTTTTTCGTATTTGTAAACTTTTTGAAGTGGTTAATGTATCTCAACTAATCTTATTTAGAGTTTAAAACATGACCCTGTAATAAAAGTTTCAAGTATTATCAATATAGCGTTTTTTCTGGTTGTATAAAATTTTAAACATTTCAGATTTTTTTCTTCCACATTTTTAATGCGAAAAATTATGTTTTTGTTTCCATAGTTAAGCTGCTCTTACATTTTTTCTAGTTAAACCTTTGAAAATCTCAATAGTTTCAATTTGGCGATTTTTTGTTTTGGCGTTTTTTCGATTTTTTAACAAAACTCGTTTTTTTCGAAATATTTAACATTTTGAATTGGCTAAAGTATTAATCTTTATTAATTTTATTAACAGTTTATACACAGTTCTCTAATAAAACCATCAAGTATTGTCAATTTAGCGTTTTTTCTTGTTGTTTTTTAATTCCCAAGAATTCATATTTTTTCTTCCAGATTTTTAATGCGAAAAATCCTATTTTTCTCCTTCCTTTTCCTGCTCTAACGTTTTTGAGGGATCATATTTTCTAGTTAAATCTTTGGTATCAAATCGGTCACGGATTTGGAATTTCTTGAAAGCATTTTGAGAACTTGTCTATGTGTGTGGAAAATCAGATAATTTTTAACTTCCCAATTACAGCTGTTTATAAAACAGCAAAGGTGATCGACGATGTTCGGATTATTAATTATAAAAAAAAATTAAAAATATATCCAACAAGAATATCTTTTGGTTTTAAATGGCGCCCAACGTGTATTTTGTAATGGATGATCCAACTGGGCTTGACTTCTACGATTTTTCAGATTTTTCCAATATCTAAACCCATAAAAATGTAGTTGAAGTTACATTTTTTTACGGCTAAATAGCATATGCTGTAAAAGTTGAAATGGCGCCCAAGCTTGAACCCGTTTTATCTCTTATTTCGGTTCAACTTTGTCAATATTGTTCTGTTATTATTCAATAGTCGATCATGACTTCGCTGTTGTCATTTCAGTCCTAATTAATTTTATAGTTAAGGACACTGAGTTTAGGTTTTAATATCGTGACTCGGTTGCTGTCTTAGGCCCATGTTCTCAGATATATTGTTTGCTATATATTTCAAGAAAAAAACATCAAAAAATCATCCATACCTTTGATGGCTTCAAAATCGCCAAAAAAAAAAGAAAGCCCATATACAACAGTTTTCAAAGATAAAATAAAAATTAGAATACGTTTTATTTGTTCTTTTAACGAATTTGGAGAATATTTTTGGCGTCCCTAAATATAAATTTTTGGAGTTTCTTTCAAAAAACCAAAATTCTCAAAAAAAAAAAAAAAAAAATCTGAAGAGCGACTTTTGCCTGAATCTGAAGAATTTAAAATTGGCGGGCATTAATTTATTTACACATAAAAAAATTAAAAACTCCATGCACCACAGCAATTTGCCGATTGCCAGAATGGTTTTTCTCAAATTCGTCAAATTTCAAGCCAAATTTCATTCCTTTTTCTTAGTCGGTAAATGCAGCCTATGGCATAACAGATTGTGTGTCCTCTCTATATTTTTTATTTCAGTGTGGATTTTTTTTAATAAAAAAATATTACAATAATTATAATTAGCCAACTCTTTCATTTCTTTTTCCAAAGGAATTTAGAATATTTCTTCGTCCCATTCATTCAATTTCATTTT